TATATACTACAGAGTAACATAAACTAATTTTCAATTAGACGAATGAATATATTTACAAATTTTTAGTACCATACACATTTATGTTCTTCGTAATGCTCACTCGTTTATTAGAAAACTAACAGTTCTTATGGACGGTAAATCATTTATCCTGTCTTCTATATCATTAAATCGAATGAAATAATAATTAATAAATAAAATAATTCTCTCCTCATTTTATTGGAGTAATTTGACGTATTATACGAGTTAAGCGTGAATATAATAATTGCTAATGATAAGACAAAGACTTATAATATTTTACACGTTACAGTTAGAATAATAAAATTGGCATTTCTGTGACATTATTTAAATTCATATTAATAATAGATAGAGATAATTTGTACAAAATTGATACACATATTTTATTTTGATCTCTCATATTTTCTCTTTATAACAGTGATGATAGGGAAATACACAAATGAGCGTATTTTGTTTGAGAATAATGTATATAAAGGGTAACGCGGATGAATCATTTGATTTAAGTGACTCATCCTTATCATAATTATAAGAGAAGACAGGTTGATATCGTTTAGTTGTTATAAAAAAATTGTCATTAAATGAAATAATGAAAGAGAAAGAAAAATTGATGATAAAAAAATTGAAAATTATGATTAATTGGAGCTACATAAAATTCACAATTATGCAATATGGTTCTACATAATATCATTTTATAACATACTCTACTTAACATTATATCTTTTTAGTACATTTTTTTTATACTAATCTTTATACAATCACTGACAAAAAATAAATGTAACTTTTAAATAGTTCATTAATCACTTTGTACAATTTTAGACAAGTTTCAGGTATGCGAAATTAACATTCATTGACTATTATTAACGTTTTATCAAACTTAACAGTACCATTAGTACGAATAAAACAATCGGCACCAATTATAACAAAATAATATATAGAGAAATTATTCACGGTTAATATCGAATTGCCAAAAATATAAAAAGTTCTTTGATTTAAAATCCAATACTCGGTATATCATTTATTTAAAAAAAAAAGAGAGAGAGAAAAAAACTAAGAAAAAAATTATAATAAAAACGTCTTTGGTGCCACCATTCTATATAGCAAAATATAATATGTAAAAAAATGTGACGATGAGTCGTCAATAGTACTTTGTAATTAAAAATGATTCATAAAAAAAAAAGCTTTCGTCAAAATAAAGTTTATCTTCTAGATGTTTTTCTTCTTCCTGTAGATCTTTTAGGACATCGACTTTTAGTTCGAACCACATGAGTCCAAGGTAAAGAAAATTCACTAAAATAAACAACATTTATATATAGCACTCATTAATCAATCATTCAGAAATATTATCATTATTTTCAATGAATTATTTGAATTATATACCTTGAAGTAAAACTAGGTATAGGAGCACCGAATGCGGTAACTGGCAATTGATGATCCACTTGAAGGCTTTGTATTTGTTCTACATCGGGCCATAAAGAAGTAACAGTTTCCTCTTCCATCATCGATGGACATGGACCGGTATGATTTGTATTATAACAAGTAGCTTGATGATTTTGTCGCTCTTGTCTTTGTTTCAATTTTTCTATATGCCTTTGTTCTCTAATAAAGAATATTATTTATATATGAAATTCAATCTCTGAATTAGAATTATGATTAAGTGTGGAGAGAGAACAAAATAAATACCTTATCCTTTGTACATCCCATCTTTTTCTTCTCCTTTCGTCATTCTCCAACTTTAAGTGCCTTTTATTAAAAATTTCATCGTCAAGATTTTCAGTTCCTTCCATCGTATAACAGCTAGTATATACTTTAATTCTCCAATTGGGAACTTCTAATGTTGTATTAATATCTGGCGGAGATGATTCTTTCAAACTTAATGTATAATTCGGATCACCAACTGCTGTATAATAATGTTCTTCCGTTGTTAAAAAGGATTCCTTTCTAATGAGAGATTTTCCTTTTCTACTATCTCCCTTTCGACTACTCTCGTGACTTAATTGTTTATCTTGTACCATTGAAGTTGTATCATTACTAATGGTAGACGAACAAGATACTCCTCTTTTCCTTTTAATGCCAGTAGTTATAGGCGTCGGATCGGATTTTCGTTTTCTCTTTTCTTCCCATTCTAATCTAGATTCGTTGCCAATTTCTTGTTTTTCGTGTTTTATTTGATTATCGTTACATTCTTGTTTGACCGTAGTAATTCCACCACTGGTATTCAAGCGTATTTTAAAACTTTCATTATACTGCGTATTACTGGATTCGGATTGAATACTTTTGTGAATATCACTAGTCGATGGTACAGTTACTGAATTTAAACTAGGAGGAGAACATGCACCTATATGTTCTGATAAAATCGAATTTTCACTACTTTCGGATCTTAACTTTTGTAAATTCACTCGTCTATCTATACGTTCCAAACGCGATTTGAGCTGCAATAAAAATACAAAGATATTAATTTTTAAAATAATACTTACATTAACATTTTATTTGTACTAGTCTTAACAATCTTAAGAACAAAATTTTTAAAACTATAACAAAATGATTTATTTATTATTAAGGCAAATAACATAGCATTAAAATATATATGTTTTGAAATGATATGCTACGTACTTTCCATAATTTGGTATACGTATGAATAAGACTACTTTCATTATCGAGTTATTTAACATTCTTATTAAACAAAATTGGATAGAAATAAAATATACAATAATTTCAAGTCAAATCAACATGTATCGTCATATTGCGTGCACGCGGTAAGACACGATAAACTAGCGCCACCACGTGGTTAAACTCCACTGTTGACCTTCACGAGCAGTTTGATAATGAAGAACAAAAGAAGAAGGAGGGATAAAAATGAAAGAAAAAAAGAAACTGACATTCAAGCATGTGCGCGCCATATAGCGCATTTTACAAAATGGAGTAGTTAAAACGGCGACATAATACTCGATATCGAAGCGGGAAACAGGAAAGAGAAAGAGAGAGAGAGAGAGAGATAGAGAGAAGTTAATGACGGCCAACAAGAATGGTGGTGGTAGTGGTAAGGGGAGGGGGGAGATAGAAGAAAGGCGGGAAAAGAAAGGAAGTCCGACGGAAAGAAATAAAAGAGATTATATTATGTCTTCTCTATATGTCATGTACCGTCTCATTTTCCTGTCGAAGGGTAGCAAGGAGTTTGTCCTTAGTGACGATTTGCTCGGACTGTTGTTGAATGAGATCCAAATGAAGTAATAAGAGTTCTTTAAGGTGTTTGACCTCAGTTAAATCGTTCTGACGTGGCTCGTTACCCCTTAAGGGGCTTACACCGAGAGCGGAGGTCGCCGTAGCTGCAGCCGGCGTCCCGCCGTCGGTCATACTGGCGTACATGTGATCAAAATCGGTAGGAAAACTGAGTATCCCGCCGATAGATTTGCTTTCTTCGTCTACGTTACTCTGGAATTCGTTCCGCGGACAGCTACTACTGTTGTTGTTGTTGTTATTATTATTATTGTTATTATTATTATTGTTGTTGTTATTGTTACTCGGGGCGACGTTACTAGCCGTTGTTGATGTCGTGGAAGCACTTGTACGTGCACCGCTCGTCGCCAACGAGGTGGATAAGTGTTCGTTCATCGCCGCGACCATGTTGTCGTTATCGTACGTCGCGACCCTCAGCGCCGTCGTCGTCGTCGTCGTCGTCGTTGTTGTCGTCGTCGTCGTCGTCGTTGCTGTCGTCGTCTTCGTCGTCGTTTTTGTCTTTGTTTTCGTCGTTGATGATGTTGTTGTTATTGTTGTTGTTATTATCGTCGTAGTCGGTTTTGCTATTGTATTCGTTTCGATAATAGTAGTGGTAGCGACGATGCTAGTAATAGCAGGAATAATAGCAGTAGCAATAGTAGTAGGAGCAGCAGTAGTAGTAGTAGTAGTAGTAGTAGTAGCAACAGCAGCAGTAGTAGTAGTAGTAATAGTAGTAGTGGTAGTAGTAGTAATAGCAGCAGCAGTAGTAGAAACAGGGTTCGTCGTGATACCACCGTCAAGTCCCAATAACGATGAGACGTTCGTTAAAGAACACACTTCGCGGTATTCGAGAGCGCTGTTAGCGTTGCCATCGGAATAGGGATCGTCAACCAGTGTTAAAGCGTCCCTCGATGAACGTATTTCAGTAAAATTTACCGGCGTCGTTCGCGGATCCAAACTCGCGTCGTGCAGACCGACGACGCCGACGACGCCCTCATCGGTAGAAACGGTAACGACATATCCTTCATTGCCTTCTCTTTTTCCCTCTTCCCCGCCCGTTCCACCATCGTCCCCGCTATCGTCCCCGCCACCCCCACTGCCACCACCACCACCATTGAAAACAGTATCAGCGGCATCACCACCACCACTACGACCAGGAAAGACACTGGGAGCAGCAGTGGCAGCGGCAGCACCGAGCTCGTTCTTCTCACCGTTCACGAGTCCTCGCGACGGCGATGCGTTTGACATCTTCCTTCAGCTCGGCTCCAGTAATCATTTGTGGACGCTTCAAGCGTACCACGCGTCCACCCTGTACACATTAAGCTATTTCTTCGATCACTGACACCATCGAACGCGTGCCACGTTAAACACCTCTGTCTCTACTTCTTTCCTTTCTCTCTCTTTCTCTTTCCCTTTCTCTCCCTCTCTCTCTCTCTCTCCTTCGACACGCGCGTAAACACTGTAAAGTATATCAGGACGAAGAAACTTATCTTTCGATCTATCGAGTTATTGAGACTCGAAAAGAAAAAAGAAAGAGAAAGGAGGAAAGAAATGTCGAGCTCGCGGAGTCGCGAGTGTGGCGGCGCACCTCGTGCGCCGCTCCGTTTCGTTTCTCTTTGTGTTTACTCTGACAGACTAAGAGAAGCCGCACACCGCATTTTCGCGGTCGCTTTCTGCCACCCTTTCTGCCATCTAACGATCATTCGATACATTATTTTCAAATTCATTTCCCGCCACCGTTATTTTACGTCATGTCAACATGAGGAAAATTAGATGCGTGCGCATATCAGCTCTTTAACGCGATTGGTCCAATTGAACGATCGCAACAATGGTTAGTTCAATTCTTTTCGGAAATAAATAAACGTTTCGTTTGACAAAGTAAAACTATTTGTAACTTATGGAAGAATTTATTTAATAGTTATCTACTGTTTCAATTTGTTCTTCAGCTATCTTCTAACGAGGTAAAAAATTAGAGAATGTATTTTTAATCGTTTCTAAACATTTATTTTGATGCAAAATTTTGAATGGCATTTGAAAATATATTCATATTCTAATGTGAGATTAAAAATAAAAGAAGAGGGAAAGCTAACACGTACAGTCAATAATTTATGCATTATATTAAGAAATTTATTTTTATATAAGTGATATATCACGATCATAAACTTTGAAGGTTACTATATACATATTAATTAAATTCTTCACTGATTTGTATTACGATTAAAATATGCTTTGACATTTATTTTATTTAACATAGTAGTCCACAGAATATGCCAACTGTTGTACAAATTAAAAATAATATTATATCTACAATAGGAGTTCCATTAAATGCAGATATGCATGAAGAAGTTTTTCTCTCTAATGTATTTTTCAAAAAAATATGTCAGTGAGAGCTATCATAATAACCTTTGTGCAGAGTTCATAAATTAAAATCAGATATATATAACGTAGCTCGCATATTATTTTCTTGATTTTGACGCATGTTGCGATCATGTACATACACTTATTAATTCATAACATTTCTCGTTGTATAGATACTAAAAATGTTTTTAGATCTGAGTATTATTTGTGTTTAAGGATACATCTAAAAAATATATTTTCATATGCTATTTCTACACTTATTTGTTAGTTGCCAAAATAAAATTGGCCTTCTATGAAATCTGCTTGTGGTATATGGTATTTAACGTGTCGATATTGTACAGATGTTGTCATTAAAATAATGACCCTGTACAAATTACAAATATAATTATGCTTGTGGATAAATTTGCTTAATCATTAGTAAACTACATGCATACATAAATATAATTATTTTCTATTCTACACCATTTATACTTATAAATCTTGCTATACATCTACATCCATATTTACAATCCTTACACAATCTTTTTTTTTCTTTGATATAACATTAAAGATCATTATGATAAAATATATATATATATATAGACTTTTTTTTATATTATATTTCAGACAATACAAATATATCATTATTACTGCAAGAATCTACTTTAAAAGCAAAAAATCTTTTCATCTCGATCAATTTTCTTAATAGCTAACGATTAAATGTATTCTACGATTTTCTTAAAACGATAATCTCAATCTTAAAAACTCATGATCTCATAAAAAAATAGACAAAAAAAAAGCGTTTTGCAATAAGAAATTTGCTTACTCTTTCGTTTTTCTTTTTTTTGATTTGATTTTTATTTTCCCCAAGGAAGATCCCCCTCTTTAGCCATTTGTATTTAATATTAAACCAGCGTCTTCTCATGACTAGAATTATAATTCTTTGCAGGCACAAAAATTCATTTGCTGGTGTTGGAATTTTTTTTTTTTGTAAAAACATAGATAACTATTTTCAAAGACTCTGTTCAAATTTGATATTAATCGAGTCTGTTTATGCAACATTTGACGATCTTCCTATCGCTGATACAGTCCCAGGGATAATAGGAACTAAGTTGAAGTTTCATTAAAAACTGTATAATCTTAAGAACAAAAGAATAGTAACTTGTAAAAATGTGCGCGATCTGACGATATGTTAATTTGATGCGCTTTTTTTTTCTTTTTTTTATATATGACATGTATAAAACGGATAATATATTGTCAGTTAAAAAAATTGTACATCTAAAACAAATTATTTTCTATGAAACGATATGCGATTTTTATCGTTTCGTTAACTATCGTGTATCATCAAGTGGTATGTACAATTTTGATCAAACCTATCTTTTTTTTTTCTCACGTCTTTGTTTAAACATTTGTAGAAATTGTTGGATGAAATAAATGAAGAATCCAATGAAAGCATGAAAATGATGTATACAATTAACGCAACATAACTAATCTGTCAGACGCATGTCTTCTCATGTAAGATGCACACTTCTGCGTTAGTTCGGCAAATCCAAATTTTTGTTCACTTTATGAATCTCTATCTAATTCTAATCTATTCTCACTGATAGGATATTTGCCTAAACATACTAGTAATTTCCTCTATTGTCTTATTCTTCGTTTCTGGTACTTTCTTATAAATGAAGAAGGCAAAGAGTCCTTGTAACGCGGCAAAAACGATAAACACGTAAGCACCTAGTGCTTCTTGAAGAGGAAGGAATCCAATACTGACAACAAAGTTGGCTGTCCAATTAACAGCAATGGCTATGGAGGTAGCCGCTGGTCGTGCAGATTGATTAAACAATTCAGATACCAAAAACCAAGGAATGCTTCCGGGACCTGTTGCGAACAATACCACGAACAAAATGACCAGTAGCACGGAGAAATAAGCAGCGACGCGTGATGCCTCCTAAAAACAGATAAATGATTTGTCAAAATAATAAGATAACAAAGTAAAATATCGATGATATTTTAAGCAACCATGATAAATGTTAAATACTTACAGAAAATGCAAGACAAACGGTTAACAAAACCGTGTCCAAGAACATGCCGGAGAAGCCAACAAGAAGTAACGTTTTTCTACCAGCTTTTTCAACCAAGATCAATGAAATAAGAGTCATGAGAACATTCATAGCACCAACTCCCATTGTAGCGTTCTGAGCAGAAGTCTTATCGAGTTGTGCCGTCATGAAGATTTTCGTTGAGAAAAACATAACGGCATTGATGCCAGAAAATTGTTGTGCAAGCATGACCATGACAGCTATCATTAAAGGTATTCTAAGAGCTGAATTTACGAAGAGTTCCTTAAGCGTGACTTTTGGTACGAGTTTCATCGATTCGTATTCCGCTCGCATCTCTTCCATCTCGTCGTGAACTTCGATGGTACCGCGTAACCAAGTCAAAGCTGTACAATATCACAATTTTAGAATCGATTTTTTTTTTTACTTCGGATAGTAAGAAAAAGCAAAGGGCTTACCTCTTTGCGCATCCATATCTTTTCCTTTGTTGATCAACAAATATTTTGGTGTTTCTGGACAGAGTGGTAGGGTAATAACTTGGAACAATGCTGGTACTACGGTCAAACAAAGCAACAAAGGCCAGTGATTTTCCGTTCCCATTAATTTTTCCAATCCAAGAATTTGCGATATTAGGATTGAAATTGTGATGACAAGTTGATAAACCGTTCCGACAGCTCCTCTCAAATTAATAGGTGATATTTCGGACAGGTACATTGGTGCCAATCCAGCGTTCAATCCAGAATTTATACCAATCAACAATCGTCCGATGATTATCATCTCGTAACTTCTAGCCATTTTAGCGAATCCTTCGAGTAGGACGGTCAATAGGACGAGTACGTTGTTCAATAATAAACCTCCTTTTCTGCCAAATCGATCAGCGATAAAACCTACCAATGAACCACCTATCATACCACCAACGCAAAATATCGATACTGCTATCGACCAGATCACCGTTACTTCCGATTGATTAGTCGGTACTCCAGTCCGATTCATTTTGATGTCGCTAATCCAATTTTCAATAAGCTAAAACATACATCGTACGATCGTGTATTAACACATTTCATTCTATTTCTATACATATGCGTAATATTTAGTCATAACTCAAAAGATAATTATTACTTAGGAATGTCATAAGAAAATTTTTTGAAGTAAATATACGTCAAATATAAAATATGATAAAATCGTTGTTAAAAAATTTGCCATACCTCTTGAGGAGCATTAACCACACCAGTATTGTATCCATGTTGAAACGATGATCCCAACACAGCTGCAGCGATCGCAAAAATTAATCGGCCATTGAGACCCTGCAATGTGATAATACGTCACACCGTATAAATATGTTGACAATAGAAACGATATTATAATCGTCTTATATACTTAAATCGTCTATTTTTCTTATTTCATAAATTATACAGTTCAATGATAAAACTCTTACCGTACACGTAATATGTCGCATTTTATTTAATAGCATCAGTGATAATATTCAATACGAATGAATTCGTTTTAATCTTATAATTGAAAATTGAAACACTTAATATTACGATTAACGTAATAATTATTATTATTATGCAATCCTATTGAGTAATTTTTCTATGTAATAATAATGCACGAACGGTATTATTATTTAAATGCTTAGACTAGCAACTTTGAATGTTATGTTTTCTTTATAAACGCGTTACAATGTCACTCGGTTGTGCGCACGAGGAACATTCTCTCTGGTAGATTGCAATATGTGTCAAAGACTGATGGGTCGGTACCCCCGTCTGCATTTTTATACAAACGGTTACACTCAACATACCAATACAAATAACGAAGATATGTGAATAATTAGCACTAACACAAATGTTCGAAAGAACTTTATACTTCTATTTATTCTTATCCGCGCGCACGTGTGTACTAAGACCTTACGTGATCCTTGAATAATATTAACTTGTGTCTTCTTACCTTTATACGTGTTTTTGTATATATATATATAAACATACACACATATATACGGTGTTACACAGGTAAACGTTCATTATAAATACTGTAGATCGAACTAATACGCTAATAAAAAGAACAACAGTGTATCACTCGTATTTATTAATAATTTTCTTTAGACGTTCTTTCTCTAAATGATACTAATTTCATTTTAGTCGTATTAACTTAAAGATTAGATAATCAATGAGAATGAAATTCGCGTGTGAACACAATATACGCATTATTTGCTCTTGTACAAACCTTATACAGGTATCATTTTATAAGAATATAATATTTCAATGATATTTCATCACCTGATAATATTAATCAAATTTATTTACATTTATAAGTGTCATTTAAGAAAGTAGATTTATTTTAATAAGAAATATTATACAGATTTATTATATTTATCGATAATTATTATTTATAGAATAGAGAAAAATATTTATTGTTTGTTTGTTTGTCTGTTTGTTTTCTTCATAAAACACGGAAATATGGAAAATATAACAACGAAAATAAAATTCCGATGATAATAAATAAGACAATTTAGTTCATAGCCGTTGATCAAAGTTCTAAAACTGACCTAATACTTGCAACTTTAGCTTTAAATTTATCACAAGATAAATAAACATACGTACATTAATAGAATTTTTCTATTGAACATTTAACAAAAACAATAAAGCTACGTTATCTTTATTTCCTATATTTCACGAATGTAATATATATATCATAAAATTCAAATAACAATAATATTTACTAATATTAATTTAAAATTATAAATATAGGTATATACGTATGGCCAATAATTTCTATGCTAATTTTAAACTGAATAATACTTTTGGAAAACTTTCTAAGCTCATTTCTTTTTATTTTTGACATTGTACAAACTGTTAAACTTTCACTTTAGAATTTATGACTTTCTCTGTTCAAGATAATATTGTATCATAATTTTCAATGAAACCTTAGTAGCACAAAATATTGAAAAATATTGAATGCATGTGTATTTAATATTAAAAACTTAATAATAATTAAATTATTAAATATTTATAATTAATTATAAATTTATTTAGAATATATATAATATTATAATATATATATATATAATAATAATAATATAATATAATATTTATATATAATATTATATATAATATTAATATTATATTATATTATATTATTTTATTTATTAATTAATATTATATTATATATAATATTATAAAATATTATAATATATACATATATATATATATATATATATAATAATAATAAGAGAGTATTAATTAATATAATATAATTAAATACTAATTAAATTTAATATTAAATACACATGTATTCAATATTTTTTCAATATTTTGTACTACTAGAGAATTTTTATCGATACGTGAAATAGAAAATAACAACGAAAATAGAAGAAATAAAAATTTTTAATAAAATTCATAAAAGGAGTATGCAAAAAAAAAACTACGTCAATGATTAAACCTTCAAATGTTCCTTCACCGCGACCTTGTAACGCATACATATATATATATATATATATATATATATATGTATTTCTAATAAATTAAATATATAAGTTTCAAAGTTGTGTGTTAATGATGTGTCAGGATAGGTGTGCCAATTCAGGAAGAATTTCTATTGGTTGTAAGGTTGACGAGCCTCCAGTCGGAATGGCTGTCTCGCAGATAAGTTAAAAATAACAGTCATTTCACATGCGCTTGCGTAGTAGTTTTAAAGTTCATATCCTACACACAAGCAATAAAAACTTCTTTACGTGTTTCTATTTTTCTGCTAATTTAAGTATAATCTCATTCGAGTATTATACTTATGTTAGTAAAATCATATTAATTGTAATCGTCTCTTTTTCTCTCCTTTCCTTCCTCCTTTCCTTCCCTTTCCTTCCTGTCTGTCTGTCTATCTGTCTGTCTCTTTCTGTCTTCAGGAAAAAATGTTCTGAATGAATCAGAAAGAATAATTGAATATTCTGATGAAATAAAATAGAATAAAATAGACTTTTACTCGTAGAAAAGATGATGATGATGATGACATCTCGTACATTTRTAACATCATCAACTTTGAAGATAATATATATTTTTTTTTTATAATAAATAATAAATATCTTTGATCAAAAATATAATATATTGTTGTCTGACTGTAATGGATAAATATTATTTATTCTATCTATCGTTAAATATTTGTGACGCATGTTTTTCTATTTTTTCGTTTCTTTTTCTTTTTCTTTTATAACACTTGTTATTTTTATCAATTGTACAAAGCTGGGACAATGTCCATTAGTCACAAATGGTAAATTATCATCGTTGAAAGTTCACGACAATACAAAACATAGTATTATATATATACTAATTTATGAATAGTAAACATTTAACATATATTGAATTTATATATATATATATATATATTGATTATATTAAGTTTATATGTGGATTATTTGTTACTGTGTATTACAAATGAAGGATCATTCATATTTTTCTAGATTTTACAGGTAAAATATGATAAAATTTCAAATAAGAAAATATCACGTATAAATAATATTAATATTGAAGAAATAAAATAACTTAATAAAGAACTTGATTAATATACTTAATATACTAGATATACCGGGGGGGGGGGGGTCATTTTATATTCAAAATTTCTACTTCATGTAACATTTGAGTTCTGTAAATAATTAAGCGTTTTGTTATTTAAAAATATTTATAAATTCATTTATCCATTAAAATTATTATTGTTAAACATTTTTTTTGTTATTTTTTTAAGAGTAAGTAAAGACTGGAAGCCTCAAAAAGCATTTTTTTTTTTATATACCAGTTCATTTTGACTAGTGTGGTAGAAATAGGTATACTGAAAATGGTGGTATATCTAGTGTTTTAATAAAATTAATTTAAATAACTTAAATAAAAGAATAAAAACGAGAATGATGAAAATTTGGAATTTTGAATGATTCGAGAAACAAAAATTAATGACAAATTATTATTATTATTATTAAATAAATTTGAATAAAATTCTTTGGAAGAATTAGAATTTTTGTTCGTGCATTTTTCTTTTCTTTCTTTTTTTAACATTAAAAGGAAAACCCACATTGTAAGAGAATGAGATAATGATAATTTTTTAAATCAGTTCCAAAAATAATACCAGAAAAGTACAGATATCAAATTCCTGAGTAGTAAACGTGACGCGGATCTACGTGCATACACACTTACACGTACGTACACACTTACGTACGTACACACATTTTTATTTGAGCTCTCACAAAATGAACTTTCGAATATTTAAGCTGTGATACGAGTTGAAGAGACGTTTAAAACATTCGTGTATTTTACATTTGAATGACTCAAATGATAGTAGTGGTGAGTTAATCAATACATCTAATCGTTAGTAAAATATCGTATTTTAAAATATAAGATTTAAATTGATAAAATCGTATGGTCATTAATTTAACATTAAAGACGATATATAAGAGAATTATCAGACCATGTTTTTGTAATGAAAAATTCTATATATATATATATATGTAATGTACACATATAATTATATATATATATAATATTTTTATAATGTTTAGTATTAATATTGAAATATTAAAAATATAATATATATATTTATAATATATAATATATAATATTAATATATTATAATAATATCACACACACAATTATATTATTTTATAAATTATTATAATAATATTATAATTATAATATTTTATAAATTATTATTATAATACTGTATATTACTATTTTATACTATATTACTACTATATACTATATAATACTATTATATTACTAAAATTATAATATATAACTTAAAAATAAATATTATTTATTATAAAATATAAATAATAAATTATATTAATTTATATATTAAATTAATATATAAATTATAATTTTTAATAATAATATTAAAATACTAAAATTAATATTTATAATATATATTAATTTTTATATATTTTTATAATATATATAATAATAAAATATTTTAATAATTGCTATATATATATGTATTTTAAAATTACAGAATTTGATTAGTAGAAAATAAACTTTCATTTGCTTTCACAGCTAACATCATACATACATACGTGTAAGTTTTATCTTGGAGAAAATATATATCTCTATTTGTACGACAAAAAGCGGAGAGTATTATACAGTGTGCCTATATAAGAGAACACGTGCTATAAAAATTCGTCTTTTTAAATCAATTGTGTAAACGTTTATTTTTTTTTTATGTACCTCTTCTTTTCTGGATTTTTTATTTTTAGCAGATTTGATCATTCACTTTTTTTACTACTACTGTATAATTTTTTTTTTTTTTTTCGTCAAGACTACAAGTTTATTAATAG